ATATGATTGTAAATTTAGCTTTATTTTATAATAGTCTGTAATATTTAAATGCAGAGATATGATTTATTGTGCGTTTATTCAACGAAACAAGTAATTTAAGATTTTATTAGTTGATTTACTGCAGAATAATCATTACAAATTGTTAGAGATTTAATGAAATAATGAGAGTAGAATCCAAACTGAGGTTTGGACTGAGTAATAACTGTCTAGGTAGTTTAGATACGCACCTTGCCCAGTTTAAAACCGAAACCAGTGAACTGGGTAAATGACGGGTCTAATATTCATCATAAATATAAATTTACACCATTACCTCAACAAATATTATCACTCAATTATTTCACCAACAATAGTTCAATTAATCAAATCAACAGCAACAAATAAATGTTATTCTATTCTTTCTAGACAAATCAAATTCCTTCAAAAGATAATATTTGGTCACTTTATAACACAGTGCTTCCTATTCTGGAAGGGTGCTTCAATTCACAATCAAAATGCAAAATCCCAATCAAGGCAAGCGAGACAATCAAAAGAAGAACAAATCAATATGGCTGTCGCCATGACTAAGTATCAACTTAAACAACATAAATGCAGTTCACAAAGAAACATAGAATCTCAGTGAAGGCAGAGGAAATAGAAACTATAATAAAATACAAATATTACCATCTCAAATATGATCGAACAGACTAACAAAATGTATAACTGAAGGAATCAATAAGGACAAATTAAAAAAGTATACATGAAGGGATTTTCACAAACAAGGACCTCAAAAATGGATCTTACAACTACTGGTCAACATTTATAAGTTTCATTCGAGATCTAATAAGATTTTTCCTTGTAAGCTAAGTAATATTTGCTCTTTAACAAATATATTTATTTATAATATACTACAAGCAACCGTATAGAAAATTTAGAAATAATTAAATCCATATGTATACATACTGAATTAAAATTAGTTAAGATATTTTTGTTTTGTTTCAAATCGGAAAGTTCATTACACAGTACCTGGGTTTGTAGTGTTGTATTATTCCTTGAAATTACCAATCGCCTTTTTGGATTGTAGACATGTTATATTAAAATTTGAACGTAAGTATTTGCTCAAATTGTGATTATTCATATTCTTTGTCTAAAGATTATTTCATCTTGATATCATATTCGAATGAAGTGAAGTTACGTATATGTAATCTTCAAAACTCATCAGAATGCATGTACACGATTAGTGAGGAAAGGTTTTTAGCCTGTAGAAACAACGACCATTGAACGTAGAAACATTCGTCAGCTACAAATCGATTATTAAGTTTTCATCTGTTGCTTCGAGGATAAGAACACCAGTCGAAATCCACAAGATAAAGGAATAACTTAAATACGTTTTGCGTGAAACTCTGATATCTAACAATTACGACTCCTTTTCATGAAGCTGAGTTACTAATTTAAGTAAAGCTGTTTCTTCTATTCTACAGGTCAAAAACCTTTTGCACATTTGATGTATTTGACAACTACATAGTATTTTGAAATTTAACATCTGTATACAAAATAGTCATAAGTGAATGTAAATGTTCATGAAACGCATTAAAACTGAAGTACAGAAATCAAAATCATTTATTGATACGAACATTCTTTACGGTGAATAATAGTAAAATAATTTTGATTTTTAGCGATATTCCAGTCAGTAGAAGTTTGCATCTTGTGCGTTTCGTGTCTTCATGCATTTAGTAACCAAAAATCATAATTACTTGATCATTATTAACTTTACATCCAATGCTCAATTTGTTTGAAACTATCAAGTCTAACCTTGGTATTAACATACCTAATAGTGATTCATTTAGGGAAGAATCTCCGATTTTCTAGGGATAAATAAGGACTAATGAGCTTCAACCAGTTAGTTTGTAACACAGATTTTACAAATGGCAGAGTTATATCATGAATCGAAAATAAAAACAATTGACCGTTGCAGTTAAAATCATCCTGAAGTCTGAGAGCTTTTTAGTTTTATCTATGACAAGATCGTGAGTCAAGACTGCTAGAGAGTCTTTTAGCACGATGAGGAATCTGTCCAATCCTCTAGCTTGAAGTGGTTGTTTAGATATAACTATCCATTGATCTTCAACTATTTTCATGATACAGAACTGTCTTATTTAATTATTCCTAAGTTTAGTGTTTTTTTCTTACAACCATTATACCTATATCATTGCTGAAAAATGTATATTAATGCATATTTGTACATTTTCAGTTCAAACACTGTTGCCTTATATGCAAGTCATAGTTATCTTCGTGGAAATGTTGAATTTTTCAGTAATCCTTCGTATTGTATGATCTATTGTTTATTTTCGTATTTTCTCCTGAAATTGCTCTTTTTATACGTTTGGTCAGTAGAAGTGCTTAAGTCTGATTCTCTAAGTGTATATTATTTAATCATTTTTATGATGATGTACCTTTAAAATTTTGAATCAAATAAACGGCGTTGTCACCTTGAAAGTTAAAGTTTTGACTTTGATAAATATACATATTATCCAAATACATTTGGATATTTAGTCGCAAATTTTGAGCTGAAAACTTTGGCAGATTATTCTACATTAAACTTTGAAAAATGCAAGGGTACCCTAATTTACATTTCCTCTTTAGATCAGTAGTTTGTGTTCATTAACTGTAGTCGATATTTTTAAAAATCAATTTTGTATTCTCATTGTTATCATTTTTCACATAGTAGTCATATGATTTCACTTTTCCTTCAAATTATTTGCATTCAATAATATGGAAGGATAGGTGAACAAGTAATTGTCTTTGGAAATAAATATCTGACACATAAACTTTATAAAGCGTACTTTTTGTGATGGCATTTATTCCTCATGATAAATGATGAGAAAACTAGTGGATCAAATGTAAAAGGATGCTGAGTAATGCAGGAAGAACGACAATAAACAACTTCAATTTCACCAGTGGACATTTAATAACGGTTTCGAACTACTGATTGTCAAAGTCTATACTCTCACAGAACGTATAGCCCACATTTTTAATATTATTCAAAGTAATGAAATGTTTCACTATATTCTAAAAATTTCTTAAGATATAATTAGTGATTTCGACATTCTAAATGAAGTTCGCACTTTAGTACGATGTATATGTTGTTGAAACTAGTGGCGTAAGGAAATGTTGCTTTAACGAGAAATGATTTTTGAAAATTTATAAGACAAAGATTTTGAATTTTTAAGGTGACTGGTAGTTGTCAGAAAAAAAATGAAACCTCGAAACATTTTTAATTCACCTGATGAAAATTAAATTTTCACTTATATTTCTGGTCAAGCATAAATTTATAGCGTTTTTTAAATGGTCGCTTAGTATCAGTTCACAAAATTAATTCTTCCGGTATATGTTGATTATTAAGCAAATTAATAATTATGGGTTTATCATTCTTCAGCAATTTGAATCAATAAATCAGCTATCATTTATGGTACTAGAAGGTGAGCTTCATCTGCATAGGCTTCAGCAAGAAATTTCAAAAAATTCAGTTGTCTAATATCAATCATGTTTAAGATTAAATAAAAAGAAACAAATTGTCATGCTATCCCTTATGTCATGATTTCGGGAAATTTTTATCCGTAGAATCTTCCCTCTTATATGCATTTTTGTATCTTCTAATGCGATTCTCCTAGCCAGATCTAAGTGCTTCTTATCAAATTCAATTTGAAATGGTTCAAATTATTCAGTTGTAGATATTTCCTCAGAAATTTGATCAGTCTTTGTTAGTATTTGGGCATCCTATGCAGATTGTCTCGATATTTCCATTATGCCGCACGTTCATCCGAAGTGGATAGTTTCATTTGAGTCTCATTAGCAGGACTTACCTGTAACCAAGTGCTGACGTTCACTCCGTAACTCGTACTCAGTAACCTTCACTTTAAATGCCATCATGTTATCCACTTATCTTCTGAATCCAGAGTTCCGAAGTATACATGCATGTATGTAATTCTTGTCACTTTTATTTTAAAATGCTTTAGTTTCTTATCACTAATATATTAGTGAGATATGTGTAGATACTATAAGTACTATCGATTTTTAAGTATACTTCTACTGGATGCATATGAACATTTTGATTTACCACTTTCCACTCAACATCTCTTCATATTTGAAAGAAAAAAAACCAGTCACGTTTTCATAAATACTCTGTGAGAAAGAAAAGATCTCTCTCATTTAAGTGTTCAACTAGTCAACTAGTTTTTATTCAATATTATATTCATACAGAAATCATAATATTAATCTATCAAAAATAAACTTAACTTCATAACAAATTGAGCATAATTATTAGTGAATACATATTTTCAGAATATGCCTAAATTTAATCTCAAATTGCTTATGATAAAAAGTAATTTTCTTATAATATTAGAAAAAAAAACAATTATTCCAACAGTTTCTGATCATTATTCAATCTATAGTAGTTGTTTTGTTCTTTTAATCCAGCTTTACAAATGGCTACCAATTGTGTTTGTTATGTTGTTGGATTTTTTATTTTTGCAAATCTAACTAACTATCTAATTGGTTGTTATTATTCCTCTTGTTATTATCAGTAGTATTATCGTTCTATCCTAATTTGAACAATAATAGTAATAAGAATTCTCTAAATCGACGACTTAACTATTTGCGTAAAATTAACCAACCAGATATGACAATGAATTCTTCCTTTTTGTAATCAAATTCTCTTATTCATAGAAAATTTGTTATTAATTTATAATGATCATTTGTAGAAATGCGTATTGCTTGTTTTAAATGTTATCCTATGGATATATCTTATTCAATGATGAGGTATACTTGTTGTTCATTTAAAACAATTTCAATGTATCATCATCTCTTAACGATAATATACCTTCGTTACTGATTTCATCTTCGAAATATACCTGCTCATATTTTCACAAAATTGTGTTGAATAAAATATTTAAATAGAAAAAATTATTATATACTATTTACACATACATAAATGTATTTATATTGATATTAACTATGTATATATGATGGCACGTATTGACAATAAAAAAGTAGGATTTGTTCAACAAGAAAATGAATCGAATTATCGAACATTGAGAACTGCATCTATGGGGGAAAAAGAAGAACATATGAGTCGATTAAGACGTTTAACATCTGGTAGTCTTCGTTATAAAAGTCGTGGTAATCAAGTGCCATCAATAAAAACTGATTTTATTGAACCTGTACATAATATGGATCCATTACAGACATATTTTAATTCTGACACTGAAGTAAGTGATTCAGCTGTACCTCGAATACATGAGAATTCTTATATGAATAATATACGCAGACCTAAGAGATACAGACGTTCGTGTCGTTCTGCTTATGAAACAACTAATTATTCTACTGCATTAGGACCATTAAGAGAAAAACACAAACTTAGTCCATTGGAACGTATATTTTTAGAAGCTGTAGAACGAGGCGATAAATCTACCATTATCAGATGTTTATCATTTTCAAATGGGGTCAATGTGAATTGTGTGAATATGTTAGGTCGGACAGCAATTCAAATTGCAGTGGATAATGAAAACATTGAATTAGTTGAATTACTTCTTGAACAACCTGGTATAGAAATTGGTGATGCAATACTGTATGCTATACAAGAGGGTGTTTATCGAATAGTTGAAATGCTAATTGATCATCCGTCAATCACTAAAGAAATGTTAGGCACTTCATGGACAACACAATGTATTGGAATCGGTAAGCAAGAAGAAGAGAGTCATGACTTTTCTGCTGATATTTCTCCGGTTATGTTGGCTGCAATTTGTAATCAGTTTGAAATTCTACAATTACTTATCAATCGTGGTGCCAGAATAGAAGAACCGCATAAATCATCATGTTCCTGTGAACATTGTCATCGACTACTTACAGATGATCCACTAAAACACACACTTCAAAGGATAAATACATACAGAGCGCTTGCCAGTCCAGCATGGATATCACTAACATCTCCTGACCCTATACTGACTGCATTTGAATTATCCTCAGAACTTCTTCACTTGGCATCGCGTGAAAATGAATTTAAAGAAACATTCTTATCATTATGCGAACAGTGTAGAAAATACGCATGTGATTTATTGGATCTTTGTCGTGGAACAGGGGAAGTTGTTGCCGTACTCAGTAAAGGAACTGATAGCGATGAAAGTTTAAGTGATGTTAGCAGTGATGAATCAGACGATCTACAAGTCGTTTCAAAAAAACACAATTTATTTCTACCTACAAATCATATTTCTACACAATACTACAGTCCAAATCGACAACCGCATCAAACAAACGTCGGTCATTTAGATTTAATAAATAATAATCAATCTGAAAGTAATCAAAATTATATAAATGATGGAAATGATTGGCGTGAATTATTAGATAGAACGTATATTTCTAAAAGACGACACCATAGACGTTACACAGCATGGAATCATCCTAGCTATTCATGTGCTAAGTTTAATCAGGCTTTAAGTATAGAAAGTACAAACAATGGCTATGATGATATCACTAGCAACGATAATTTACATCCTTCCACTAGTAAAAGTGAAAGATTATGTGATTCAGAAAATCAATTACATTATAAAAACCATTTGGAAATCATAAATGTTAAAAATAACTTATATTCACCGACTAGATCATCTTTAAAATTAAGCCGTAAGAATATTTCTGAATCATTTGCATACAATATTAAAAGAAACAATAACAATAGTATGAAAACCAATTCGAAAGAAATGATTTCCAATGAAAGTTTACCAACAATATTCAACACATTGGAACCATGTTCATCTATATTTTTAGAACGTAGAAGAAATAGTTTCGATTGGGAATCTGCAACATGTGGTTTTAATCAACAAACTCAATCGAATACTAATCTTAACATGATACATTCAAAACAAGAAATAAATGAACAAAATACGTTAAATAAGTCAACTTATTTAACATGTTGTTGTTTCACTTCTTCCAAATGCTGTAAATGTTCAAAATCATCTGTTAATAATTTAAATAATAATCGTTTAAATAATAATAATAATAAATCGTCCGATTCACAATTGAAAACTGTTGAACTATCTGATGTAGTTGTTGCTAGACAACAACGGAAATTTTATTCATTTAAATTAGATCGTTTAAAACTAGCCATTAAACATGAACAGAAGAAAGTAAGTATAAAATGTTAAATTGTTTTTGTATTTAGTTTTTGGTATATAATATAAATAATTGTCTTATTTAAATATTAATCTACTTCCTTCTCAGATTATACAGATGAGGATTGTTATGTAAAGTAAACTTTTATTAGATTAGCAAATACCTAGTTCATATCTTCTTGTACATTCACTAACTGATTCCCATTATCTTATGAATTGGATTTCACCCTATTGTACAAGTAAGTGTTTATCTGGAGTCTGTAACTAAGTGCATAACATGATGGCGTTTGAAGTGAACGATACCGGGTTCAAGTCCCGGAGTGAACATCAACTCCGGAATACAGGTATATCGAGTTGATTATTTTATATATATCCATGCAATGGCTAAAAATGTACAGAACTCACTTAAGCTTTCATCTTTATAAAACTCTGTGATAATGGATGTAGTTTCGTCCTTTCAGAAAAATTATAGTATCATCTATCTATGGATGTATTAGTTGTTTTTCAACTGAAGGTATGAAATTTCAGTTAGTTTTACGTGACGCACTGATAAATGTCAGTAATATTTAATTGTTTGGAAAAGCAGAATACCTGAAGCCTCATATTGTAACAGATTCTATTATGCAAGCTATGTGACATATAAATTATTTCTAGAAATCTATCATATAATTCGATCGTCTTTCAATGCAGTTTAGTCACTTCTCTTACAAATAGCATAAGGTATATGAATCCGAACATGTTGAGAAGAACTTCATGAAACCCCTGTCTTTTTCTTGGTCGGATAATCTATTACACATTTTTGAAACCATGAATCGATCAATGTTAGACCACCATTAGAAACCTGGAAGCACTGGACGGCCGTTCCGTCCTGGTATGGGACTCATCAGCAGTGCGCATCCACGAACCCTGCACCCCGCAGGACTCGAACCCAGAACCTTCGGTATTGTGCGCGATCGCCCTAACCGTTAGACCACTGAGCCGGTATCTAACGGTGTTAATGTCTAACTTGATCGAATTCACGGAGTTGTGCAACCTCATACACAGTCTTCGGTAGACATTGCCTACACCCGAACAGGTTGAACTTCACTGGTCCCGTCTTCCCACCAGAACTCGGAGAAGATTCCTCACGAAGCTAGTCACTAGTGAGCACAGATAATTTGCATTACGGGGTTGTGAAGATTGTTAAGTTACACATTTTTGAAACCATGAGGTTGCGCAACTCCGTGAATTCGATCAAGTTAGACATTAACACCGTTAGATACCGGCTCAGTTGTCTAACGGTTAGGGCGTTCGCGCACAATACCGAAGGTTCTGGGTTCGAGTTCTGCGGAGTGCAGGGTTCGTGGATGCGCACTGCTGATGAGTCCCATACCAGGACGAAACGGCCGTCCAGTGCTTTCAGGTTTCTAATGGTGGTCTAACATTGATCGATTCATAGTTTCAAAAATGTGTAACTTAACAATCTTCAAAACCCCGTAATGCTGATAAATTATTAATCTAATAATTTTTTCACATCCTCTATTTGTTTATCAATTTTCTGCTTTCTCGGTTTATATTCTTCACTATCTAATTATTTACACGCTTCTTAATACGTAATTCTAATAGCGCTTTGTGACTATTATTATTCGAAGTCTATTTATCAAAGTTTGACCTACTATTGACTTGAACTTTTGCCATTTTATTATTCCAACCACAAACAGTATATGTGTCTCCCTACTATCAACTTGTACTTCTATCTATTATGTGTAGTTATGTAATCTGCGTCGTTATGATTATTTTCCTATAAACATTCATGTATATTAGTGCCAAACCTGATAATCTAATTGAAAAGAAATATTGACCTTTTATTACGTGATGTACTATTAGGGCATTCCTTCATTCATTGGAAGAAACAATACAGTAATAGATAAATGATAGTTCATAAACGGAATCGATATTTAATGACGTTTTACAAAAGAAAAAAAGCAATATATCATTTAAAAATTGAGTAGATAACCATCTTCATCAATAGTGAATAGGCAGAGTCACTTTTCTATATGTACTAAACATTTTGAATAGTCTCATCAAATATATACTTTTTTAAAAGGCTTATTGCATGAAAACTAAAGAAAGTTGATAAGATAACAAATCAAGGAAGAAAATGTAAGGATAGTTAAAAATATAAGAGGGAGAGGATAAATTACAGAATTAAAAGTTGTCATATCAAATAATTTATTGAAATTTGGTGAAACGTAGTCTCAGTTTCTACATAAAGCTTTGGGTATGATATATGTAGACGAGATACTTATCATACATAATTCGAATTTCGATGAGACTTATGTCGTAGATAAACTAAGTAGTCTATAGAGAAGTGTGATAGTAATTAATAAGGGAGGAAATAAAAACTTTTCTTTCCTAAACATAACTCTCAGTCGTAGTGATGATAGCTCTACAAAAAATCTGTTAGTGGGAAACATATCTAGACCAGTGTGAAGACGTAACTGATCTGAAAAATGTGATGTATAGCGCAAATACATCACATTTTTCAGATCAATTACGTCTTCTCACTGTTCTATCAAAATTTATAAAAGGGACTAATTGTTTTAAACATATCTAGACCGGTATATGCCTAAGCTTTCTTTAATTGTATCTGTTACAGTTCAAGTTTCAATTTCGCAATGATGATACTGTTTAGATGAACAATGAAGGCTTCATGATTAAATCATCTGTATCAGAGAACGAAGCTCTACCAGAACAATACAAACTTGGCTTGTAAGTACTTTCCGATAGAGTTCAACGAGTTCACACTATAGATTGGGTTGATAAAGATACAAAATCTGTGTTAAATAGACATTCACTGAAATTTAAGAACATAGTTTACGCTGTTAAAATTATTTACATCGAGAAGCCCTTTACCTCCCACAAAAAATTACAGCGCTGATCACGTGTGTGTGTGTTAACAAGCATAGAAAAGAGTAATCAGATATATGCCTAGATAGCTCTATAAGTACTGAGTTTAAATATTTTGACAAACTCCAGTAATCAAAAACTGCACTCCTCAATATCAAAACATATCATTCAAACAGGCTATCGGATTGACTTTACAACAGCTTATAAAAATTTGTACACAAATCATGAAGGCAAAAGTTTTAGATTTTTTTTAAATACTGAGCTATTAGAAAATTCAAAATTACTTAAGGAATATGAAGACAATTTATACTAGCCTCAAATATGTCCTGCTACGTTTTAAGCAATTCAATGGCCTAGCGCAATCAACAATAATTCTTTTTATACAACATTATTATTTCTTCCGCTGATTTTTAACGGTTACTTAATGTTGAAGGAACTTTAAAAGTACTCACATGTGAATATCTTGATAATTATGTATGACAGAACTGTTTGAAACACTGCAAACAAGTACATCACATTTCTTGAACCAACTCTGTTTTTTTTTCATCTCCATATTGAAGTATAGGAGAGTAACTGAGTGTTTGAAATATGTATCTTGTAAACGGTACCTTTTTTACACTCATCATCTAAACGGATTTATATCATTTAGACTGCTGAAATGTCATTTTAACTCAAATTATGGTAAGCTATTATCGTAGTCAAATAATGATGGTAAGTATATCAGTTTATTTTTGTGACAAATTCGACATATTATATGAGATGTATCTCATCATTTTATCTACTGTGTTCATGAGAATAAAAACAATCATTTTGACTGCTTCATATGATATTTGAGAATAAAATGGAACAATTTTTACTTTCCATTCATTTTCATTTCACCAAGCATTCATATTAAATGTCATTGTCGTCATTGTTAACCCTAATTTTTTTATTATAAGAATCCATAGTTGAATAGATTAACATTAAAAAAAATGTGCGTGGATCTGATCTGATTCCAACTTCTTTCATCCTATTTTTTAATGGTACATTTCAAGCATAAACTATCATCTAGTCAGTCTATTTTGAAATTTTCAACTTGAAGAAAGAAAAGAAAAGAAAAAAATGATTTCTTTACTTTTTTTTTTCTAATTAATTGGTTAAAAAGAAACAATTCTAATATAATTTTCATATCACGCAATGATGCTTAAACTTTGAGATTTTATAAAAATTAAATTAAATTGCGATTCAATGCGAAAATTAGTAACAAGAAAAATCATTTAACTTGGATAAAAGTTATTCATTTATTTGTTTTTGTGTATTTTTCCTAACTCTTTATTTATATCGATGTATATTTGTGTATATATACATAAAACTTTACCACCAATGATTTTTTAAAGTATTTTCATTCATTAAGGAAATGCCAAAATTGTGAACAGTTTGAGGTCTTTTCTTCCATGAATATACTTATGAAAATAAATTTTATAATAAAATTATTTATTCGTTTTCTCGAATTTTCAATTCTACATTACAATTTTTTTCCTTATGTTAATTGTCATTTCTTCATAATTGAATAAATTTAATTTTGATATATACGTCATATAATGTGACAATTCAAGAAAAACTCTAGTATAAAGTGACTATGAAAAAAAGTAATAAAATCTTCTGGTAAAGTGTAATTATTAGGAATAGTGATTCATAGATGAATGAATATTGAATAGAGTGGAATTTATTTTTCAATAACTCTGTTAATTGATTTCTTGACTAGAGTATTTTTTTAAAATCTTTAATGATCAACCTTGATTATTACATATATATATATATATGGTTTCACACTTGAGAAGTGAATTAGTTTCGTTAGTTTTTCTTAAATGTCGGTATGTTGTAAAGATGATCGTTGTTATCAGACCATGTTACGTTTTTTTGGATTCTATTCACTTGTTCTTAGTTCATTTACATCGAAAAACTTAGACTGGCTTCTAAGTATTTTACGAATGTTGTCGTTGCACTTTGTTCAGTCGTTTCCGATCACATACTTACTTACTTACTTACGCCTGTTACCCCCAATGGAGCATAGGCCGCCCACCAGTCTTCTCCAACCAACTCTGTCCTGGGCTTCCCTCTCCAGTTCTGTCCAATGTTTGTTCATTCCTCTCATATCTTTCTCTATTTCTCGGCGTAATGTATTCTTTGGCCTTCCTCTTTTCCTTTTGCCTTGAGG